GGCCTCGATCTTGTCCGCAAGCGGACGGATGCCTTGCGGCGTCACATAGTGTCCCAAGTACTCCAGCTCCTGCTGTGCGAACTCGCACTTGTCGCGGTTTGCTTTGTACTTGGTCTGTCGTAGCCACTCCAAAACGGTGCGCAGGTGTTCCACATGCTCGTCCAGACTCCGGCTGTAAACCAGAATGTCGTCGAGGTATATAAGTACGAAACGATCCAGCATGTGTCGGAACTACATCGTCATAGCCGCTTGGAAAGTGGCTGGGGCATTCGTAAGGCCAAATGGCATGACCAGCCATTCGAAATGCCCATACCGAGTCTGGAACGCGGTCTTGTAGCGATCCTCCTTGCTAATCTCGAGTTGGTGGTACCCTGACTTGAGATCCAACTTAGAGAAGAACTGGGCGCCGCCCAATCGCTCGAGAAGGTCGTCGATGCGTGGGAGAGGGCCGGCGTTCCTGATCGTTTGCGCGTTGAGCTTGCGATAATCGATGCACAACCGCAAATCCTTGTTCTTCTTCAGGACGAAGAGAACAGGAGCACCGTATGGCGATGAGCTAGGCCGAATCCAGCCTTTCCCTAGAAGGTCGTCGAGTTATGCCCGAAGCACACTTAACTCTTAATCGCTCATTCGGTAGATGCAACCGCGCGGAGGTACGGCCCCGTCCTCGAGGATGATCTCGTGGCGGATGGGTCGATCCGGTACTACTCCATGCGGGCCTTCGAACACGTCGCTGTAGGCGTCGAGAAGTTCGGTGATGCGTGGATCCGAAGGTGAGTCCGTCGATGAAGCGTCATGTGGCGGGAGGGCGTGGAGAAAACACACCCCCATCTCCTCGATGTCGTCTCTGATGATGGAAGCTCGCATGCTTGCGGCGGATACCACGTGGCAGCTGATCGAAGGATGAGGAAAAGACACCGTGCATGGAACTAATACTCCGTTCCGGTCATGAACGTGAACGGTGCGGTTGGAGAAGTTCACAGGGTGATCCTTGCTTCGCAGCCATGACATGCCCAAGATCATGTCGAATTTGGTGTCCAGAATGTCGAAGGACACCGCCTCACTTGCGTGGGGGGCAAAGTACACTGGGACGGCGTCAATGCATCGGTCGATGGACTTGTGCGTATGACTGTCTGCGAGAGTGACTTGCGTAGGTTGGGACCTCCTCCGGACACGTGGGCCAAGGCCGGCGCGTACCATGAAGTCCTGGCTGATGTAGTTGCGAGATGCTCCGCAATCGATCAAGGCACTACAGGTCGCCTCTCCGATCTGAATGCGTATGTATAGCAATGGTGAGTCGATGTCGTCGTACCATTGCGTCTTGAACTCGCGGTCGATCTTCGCGATGAAAGCGTGAAGGTCGACAACCTCTGCTCCGGCGTCCATCAACGGAGTTGGTACTGCAGTGTGCAAGTAGTCCCGCAATTGTGCCATAAGCACGTTGCAATGCGGTTTCGGCAATCATCCGGTCGAGGGAACGGGCATCCACTGGAAGTCCGTGAACGTCAACGGATCGAGCTCTTCAAGTCTTGAACATCACGTCGAATCCCCGGCGATAGATTTCGGCGAAGCTGCCGAATCAGTTGCCGATGGTGATGAAATTGTGCATGCGGTGGACTGTTGCACGTGGAGCGGTTGGTCCAGCGGTGGAACCAAGTGGTCAGCATAATCCTTGTAAGTATACCGAGGACTTGCGACATTCGCATCCTCCCCAGATGTGCAGGAAGCCGCTAGCAAGGCGGCCGAATCTGGCGGAGTAGAAGGTGGAGTCGCCTCACCTTCCGCAGAGCTCAGTTTCCCGAGCTGAGGCGGGGTCGCACGTCCTCCTTGCCCTGATCTTGGCACAGGGAGGTCTTGTGCTTGGTGTTGTTGCACCAATAGCAGCTGCCGTAGCGGCCGCGGATCTTGTACTCCGCCTCGGTCAAGCCAAACTTGACCCATGGAAAATGTCCTGGCTGTCCATTTTCGGCCTGCGATGCGGATTTCGCCTTCCCATTGTTGCGGGACTTGTTGGTGCTTCGCGGCTGGACAGCGGCCACCTGATC